GAGGTATTTCCTGGGCTGGATATGGGGTAAAAACATGGGGAATTGAAGGGTGTGGGTGTGGGTCAAGGTGTCTTGGATTTTATGGCTGTTTGTTTAGCCAAGTTGAGGTGTAAAGGAGTGGTATTGGCAGGGTTGTGGCATGAGGTTTTTGGCCAGGGATGAAGGAAAAATAAATGTAGTTTTGGGTTTATTATTTTGGATATTTTGGGGTTTGGATTGGATGAGAATGGCTGGGCCTTTTAAGTTGGAGTTGGGCTCAGGGAAATTATGGCTATGTGGCGGGTTTTAGGATTGATAAGTTCGGCCCAAAAGGAATCATAACACTTAGCCATTATTCCGTTAATTTGTTTAACGACTTTAGAGTCGTTGGTAGTCGCCCGGGGTATATCAAGCATCCTTTTCAATCTTTTCCGCTCTACTAAGTCATAAAGATTAAACAAATGTACCACATGCATTTGTATTATCAAAATATGTCATAAAGATTAAACAAATGTATGTTGTAAATGTTGTTAATATATATATTTCTATATATAAAAAAATACTAGAGTTCATGTAAAACTTTGGACCATTATTAAATTACTTATTATTTGCAATGACACATGCCCAGGTTTTTTAATAATGGTACTATTTTTTTCTTTACAAATATGGATGAGTTGGGTGATTGATCGAGTGACGGTTAAGATAAATCTCCACCCGCATCTATCCAATCTATTATCTAATTCGTCCATCATCCATATTTGTTCAGGTTTTTATCCGCTATATATATAACAGATCGGATGGACGAGTGTCATCTGTTCAAACAACATTGTCATCTCTATCAGCCACACATACCCTCTTGGCTGCAAGGCAAAATAGCGTGCGGATTCCCGTACAAGTCCTTTTACTAGATGGCCAACTGAACGCAATAACTCAGCTACAACTCTGTTTGGAATGGACTGAAGACTTGGCAATCACTCCAATCAGATTTCTTTATCTTCCACCTTAAGGTTCTTCAATGGGGGATAGTATGTTACACTTTGGTCAAATATATGTGTGGCTTGTAGGAATCACTCAATGGATGGAATATTCCTTCTTCCATCTCTTTTAAGTCTCATCTCTATTCTTTCTTCATTACTCCATATATTACTCCCTCTGTCCCATTTTAACTTACTTGTTTGCATTTTTTCTCCGTTCCAAAATAAGTTGTCTGTTAGTTGTTTTCGTAATCTTTTAAAAATAAAATACCTAAACTACCCCTAAAATAAGTCACTCTTCTTCACCTTATCTTCTCATTTATCATCACCCCTCCTAAAAAGTAATGTCAATTTCAGAAAATCAACTCTATTTTTTATTTTCCTTAAATATGTCCAAAAGTCAAAACAGACGATTTAAATTAGGACGGGAGAGTAATATTCAATCAACATTTTTGAAGCTTTCGTATTTTAAATTGAGCAGCCTCGTACAAGTTGTACCACCTGTCTACCTTTGTGATACAAGCAAGCACTATCAAAATTGATTTGTAGTATGATGTTGTTGTCTACAGTCATCATCAAAAACAAAACAAAAATTGAAACTTTCCTTCGTTACTATTCATACATTTGTCTTAGGCCATCAGCAATAAGGGGATTAGGAAGGGTTTGACCACTCTCACCCTCACTCACTACATATTGATCTTGGCATTTTTTTGTTGATAGATGGAATCTCCACAAACCAACACCGAGCCTTAACATGTTCATCTATTCTCACTTTTTTTATTCCTGAATTTCTGAGCTTCCTTTGAAATTGTGAAATTCCATACATTAGGCATCATCAGCAATAAATCTACACCACAAATTAATGCTCGAACAGAAATAATGAGCAAAATGTCTTTGTAGCTAAGCCAGAGAGAGAGAGAGAGAGAAAGAGAGTGGGTGAATGAGTGAGAGAGAGAGAGAGAGATATAATGAATCAGCTTTAACATTTCCTTATCAATTCTTCTCAGCATGGAGGAGGATAATGCATCATCATCAGCAAGTCCATGAAGATGATCTCTTGATGACAGGCTTCATTTGTTTGTCCTCTTCCAATGAGATCATCCCCAAGTGCGAAGGATCTTCCAGCATCATTTTCGCAACCAGATATCCGCCAATAGACCATGTCTGGTACTTCCTCGCTTGCTTGCCAATGTATCTCCCGAGTTTCCCGTCATAGTATTCCGGCCACCCATCTTTCAGCAGCCGGCTTTCAGCAAGATCAATAGCCCGTCTTGCAATTTGTGGCCTCCCGGTCTTGATGCATGCAGCCGTTAGCAACCACAACAGCACTGCCATTTGAGTGAAAACCAAGAAAGAATCTGTCGTGTTAGAGATATAAAGTCACGAAAACCTACCAAACTACTATAAAATACTTGTACTAAAAGACAGTAAAGAAATTCAGGGGAAAACCTGGCCAAGACCCTCCGTTGTGATAGCTCCATCTTGTGTTTTTGGGATCACAGCCAGTAACGATTCTCCATTCATGATTTTCCAGGGCAGGATAAGTTATTTTTAAAGGCATCTCTCCAACCAGCTCCTCCCAACGTGCTTCAATGAGATCCATAACTGCAGAAGCTTGCTCCGGAGTGGCAAGAGAAGACAAAATGGCTACACAATTACCCAAAGCAAACCACCTAAAATCCATCATTGCAGGGCTTACATTGCCTACAAAATAGCCACCGCGTGTAGGCATAAAATCAAATACCCAATCTGGGATTGAATCGGGAATCACGTTAAACTTATTTACTGCGGTATGGGAATATTCTTCGGTTTTATAACGATAAATGTCATTTAGTTGTTGGAAGTCAAGCCAGAAGTAACTTCTCATGTGGTAACTCAAAGCATGAAGACGCTTTACTATTCTCTCAATACACTCTTTTCCTTCAGCATCTTGCTTTAACATCCCCAACGCACACCTCAGTGCCATAAAAAACAGAGCTTGAATTTCAATAGGATAACCATAGATTCCCTGAAAAAAAACCAAATACGATAAGACTAACCACGTGAAATACTGATTAGTGAGTTCAGGTTATTCAAAAAATCAATATAGCCTTTAACATTATTAGAACACAATTAGTAGCAGTAAAGTATCATCGTAAACAAAATTACTTCTGATGGTAAACAGTTCTCTTAAGCACATGAAGCTATAAAATGTTATAAATGAGATATTGCATACTCACAACGTTTACACTCCAAAAACATTCTATTAACTGAAACTAAACTAAATATTCGAAAAAGAAAGATTGAAAATAAATGGATTAAGTCCCATTAATTGTGTATATCATCAAGTCTGAGAAAAGCATACATGCTACTCCCTTTGTCCCACTATTTTTGGGACATGAGGGAGTGGCAAAAGAATTAAGAAAAGTAGGATTGTATGATTGATAGTGATGTTAAAATGTAAGATAAAGTTTGAAACTAAGAATGAATTTGAACCACACAAATATGACCAGATATTGTATACGACAAAAAAAAACTGGTACAAACAAAAAAGGTAAAAAGGGATAAATATGGAGGGGTGGAGGGAATATAAAAATAGAGTGAGATAATATTTTATAAGTGTTTAGGAAGTGAGCAAACACTGCAAGTCAATGGCTAATTTTAGAAAATACAACCACTTAAAAATCATTTAGTAGAGAATAAGGCTATGTGAATTTAACAAAAACAATGAAGTTAAAAGAGCTAAGGACTTCTCCATTCAATGGTGTGGCATACAAGAAGATATGTTGGTTTAGTTTTTTTCCTAAACATACACATTGCATTTTGGAAACTGATTGGAAATAAATACGAGTACTTCAAAATAAATTGTAGACTTAACGTACGGAGTTATTATTTTATAGAGAGAAAAATTCGCCCGCTCTATTCTAATGCAAATATTCCACCCACTCTATTTTCATACAAATACTATGCCCGTCACATAATAACATTTTTTACTTATATTTAATTGATTGAAATAAAAAAAATAACAGAAGAAAAAATAAATATTTCAAAATAAATTGTTGACTTAATCTACGAAGTACTTATTTCTATGAGCTTTCAAAATAGTTCAAAAAAATAGAGGTTCAGAGAAATATAATATCATGTGCATTAAAAAATGAGAGGCTGTATCCACAGAAAAATATAATATCATGTGAATCCCAAGAGAGTAGGGTCTGGGGAGGGTGTGTGTACGCAGACCTTGCCCCTACTCAAGAGCAGAGAGGCTGTTTCCAAGAGACCCCCCCCCCGGCTCAAACAGCAAAGATAAAAATGATATCACAGAAGACATGTAAACACCCTGAAAGTAAAGTTTATTTAAACATCATCAACACATCAAGGATTTCGCACCAAAGCACAACATATGTATTCATCAATTCAATTGCCTCATAACTCATCACAAGCATGTAGCATGGCAGAAACAGCACAAAAGCAAAAAACACTTTGTTTAGAGATCATCTGGAAATAATTTACTCAGATGGATCAGTTCATGCCAAGTCTACTATCTATCCATTCATTTTGATGTGAGGGAAAGAACCAAGACAGACTTTAATAACACGTATTTCCATTTGCAAGTTTAAAAAATTATCTCAAACCCTACTTCCATGTGTAACATACTGAGAATGTTTGGTTAGGTTCAAAAAAGCAATTATGGAGAATTAGTTTCCTCATATCTGAGAAATGATTTATCAAAGTAAGGGGCTGTTTGGCAACTTCTGAATGGGTAAGTGTTGAACCAGTAAGAAGTCTGAACCATTAAGTGCTGAACCGTCTGAACCATTAAGAGCTAGTATATTGCTTAACTATTCAGAGGCAAATGTCTGATCAATTCAGATAAGAGGTCTTAACCATTCAGACTCTGTATAATACTAAACCATTCAGAGGCAAATAACCATTAAGAGGCTGAAACAAACAGTCTGAACCATTAAGTGCTGAACCATTCAGACATCTGAACCATTAAGAGGCTGAAACAAACAGCCCCTAAAAGTGTTAAACAAGTTTTTAATGGTTGCAGAAAGAGGCAAAATGATAGTATTGCATATATAATAAAAAAACTGCGTACCATTCTTCTATCAACCATTGAGCATCCATCAGCGCATAGCAAGGTTGGAAAGGTATCAAATCCCTCTGACAAACATAACGTCAATATAAGCCTCATCCCTTTTTGGCACTCTGGCATCTCAGAAAGAGTAAGATCTCCGGTAGATTTTGTATATGCACGGAGAAGAATAATCCACCAAAACCCAGAGTCAACTGGAGCAACTCTTCCAATTGCGCTCTCTCCAAAATCTGCTGTTACAGTATCCGTCTTACGAACTGGATCATGACGGACTTTAAAACTAGCGGGCATAACCCCTTCCCCAAGCTTGAACCTATCGACTCTTTTCTCTGATCCTTGAAGTTGAAGTGTCTTCAGCAGGAAATTCTTAACAATATCCGGTTCACCATTCATTAAGAAGGCCAGAGCACTAGGCACAAAATCTCGAACGAAAACCTTTACAGATATCATATTTTTAGCCAATAAAAGATTGTGGAACGAAGACCCTTAAATTGCAACTTCAGAAGGAAAAGCAGGCAGGTTATAACACAAAAATCACAAAAAGACAACATGGACAAACCTGATCATAATTTAGGACCTCTTCTGAGGCATGGTCAACAGCAGCAATTGTCCCAACAGGTTGGCCTCTAAAATGAACAATTGACCGCCGAAGAGAATCCCAAGCCTCAGCAACTATAGGATGAGGCTCAAAAGAGTTACGGCTCCATGAATTTGGTGTGTCTAGCACTGAGCGTCCAGGTGAGTATGCAGGTTCATAATTATCCAAACCTCTAGCTAGGGCAATGGACAGCTCACTTAGAGATCTTTCATCAAACGACCTCTTCCTCTCTATGTTCAGTCTTGGCCGATCAAGAAGCTTTGAGAGATCATAGTCATCAGCTTCCGAGATGGAGCATTGGGAATTTACACTCTTTAGTCCAAACTCCTTACTACCTTGACAATCTATATTCATCTTTACTGTTTAACTCAATTATATTCTGCAACGTCGTGAAACAGCAAGCTATTTTTTAATTCACTGTGTACACAATAAAATTTGAATGTATTTTCCTAAAAAAACACAAATTCTAATGTAAAGTAATAATACGTGCATGAAACTACAAATTAGCTTTGCTTTACTGAGACCTAGTATTTGTCAGCATGACTACTATACTTCATTCCTTAGGTAAAATGTTGAGAACCAAGCATTTATAGATGGGTATATAATTGTATGTAGGTACGCACATAACAGTAATTGCAAAATGAAAGAAAGTGGGAATGTGTTATGGTATTATCCAAATATTTAGAGGGCAAATACTCCGTAGTAACTAATGGGAACCCAGAAGAAAGAAAAACAATCTCAATTACTCACACGGATATAGGAATGATTTCATTATTTTACTGGAATGATTACAAATTTTCAATATTACATCTACTGCACAAATTTTTGAAAACTATTAAGCCAATAATTTAAGATAGCTCAATTGTGCATATAACAATATTGAAGAAAATCAAAAAAAGATTTGAAAGGAATGGAGATAACAAGTGGAAGAGAAGATAGCATCTTTCAAGTTTGGAAGCTAGTGCTGCTTCAAAACAGACAGCATTGTAAACCTAGGACAGAAAAATATCAAGATCCGGTACGAATAGATTGTATGATGACAAATAAATGGGAAAAAATTGTCATTTGGAGAAAAATATTTAGAATGAAGGCAAACCAGATCTAAAACAGCTTTGGATAGAAACGGAGAGAGATAGAGAAAGAGGCATACCTGGTTATAGGATAGTCAGAGTGATGGAAATTGGGGAAGATTTCCCGGCGGCAATGGCTGACGGAAGCAGGCGAGATCTCCTGGGAAGCAGGAGAGGGAGAGAGTAGGGGTATTGAAAAGGGAGAAGGGGAAAAAGAGCATGATCTGGGGAGGTGTGATTTATAGAGAAAGAAAAATGGATTTTTGGGGGAAAGGATAAAATGAATGAAAATAAGGCAAGTCGAGCCAAAGAGTCAAGTCAAACCAAGAAAGTTGACCGTCTAGGATATGAAAAAGATGTCCATTCCTTTCATTGTCCGAAATCATTCCCATTAACCAAGCCTGTAAGAGTGTAACTCAAATCAAAAGGTTAGAAGTACACCAAAAGTATACTTCAAATCAATGTTTTTAACTTTGGATCGGACCAGCTGGTCCACCTGGTCCGACTGCGACCCAGCTGTATGTCCGGTCCGATTTAGAACCCAGGCAAGCACGTTCACTCCGGCATTGAAGGACCAGCTACGCAATTCAACTTTTGTTTTTAATCCATGTACAATTTTTTATATACTAACTTTAATATATGGGCCTTGTCCATACTAATTATATTGTTTGAAAAAACCTTCAATTTTTTAAGAAAGAAAGTCAAACTTATGTAATTTAAATTTCCTTTACGAATTTTAAAAATAATTTAAACTACAGAAGATTTTTATGTAAATATAAATATGAATAATTCATCTAAAAACTATTATCATTATTAAAAATTAAATAATACGGAGTATTTATTAATTGTAAATAAATATGCTACAATATATCTTTGCTTTATTTTTTTCATATTTTAACCAACTAAATACTCCCTCCGTCCCGCTATATTCGTCCACTTTTGACTTTTGGAACTGTTCATCTAAGCACTTTGACTCATCAAATTCTCTCAATGTGTAAGCCTAAATATAGTCATGTGTGATCTTGTTTGATTTGTCTTAACATATAAATTATTAATATATAATTTCTATAATTTTTTAATATACAAATTACAAGATAAAATGGATTAAAGAAGTGTATTGGATGGTGTGCAAAAATGAAAGTGGACAAATACTCTGGGACGGAGGTAATATAAGTTTGAAACGGTAAGTCATGCGGTATAAAACTTTTGGAGAAATAGTTATTATAGGTTCGTTGACCGGGTCATTGACCAGATTCAACCCGGTTCAACCGATTGACCCTCGACCCACTCGCTTTGCCGGTTCGACGTCCGGTCCGGTTTTCAAAACATTGCTTCAAATCTACACCACCTCTTTCATTGCCACATATTTTGGCATGTAAAATGAAAAAGAAATAAATAAATAAAAATGAGTGGTAATGAAGAGGGTTTAGATTTCTAGTTTCATTACCCTAGCATCCCTCAACTCAAATTGATAGTTTAATTTCTAGTTTCTTTACCCCAAATTAATTGTGTCATTTTCAGACCTGGCAAACCGGTCAGTCAGGTCGGGTTTAGATTCAGTCACCTTGTGTTCAGATTATTTTGGGTTTGGATACATTTGGGTTCGGGTTGATAACTACATGTTCGTGATCCAGTGTCACCAGGTTCGAGTTTACCCAGCGGGCTATGAGTTTGATTTATTTTTTTAAAATTTTAAGTAACTTTTATGACTCAGTGTCAATATTATGAATAAATAAATTAAATATGTAGAAATTTTGAAAAAATGTAAGATACTTATACGACATCATTAAAATTTGTTATGATGGTATATATCTCTACACAAAAAATGAATAGTAAGCAAAAAATATAATAATAATCTTATTTTTATTACACTATATTTCATGTTAAAATGTATGATTTAAAAAAATCTTAGATTAGCTGGTCGGAGGGGTTTGACCCATTTTTTGCAGGTCATTTTGGGTTCGGTCAACTTCGGGTTCGGTCAGCAAAATCTTTGTTCAAAACCTAGTATTTTCAGGTCGGGTCTCGGGTCAAAATATGTTCATTTTATTTTTTAGATTGTAAAAAATAATGAGAATTTACTTAAATAACACTAAAATATAATGACTTTTCCTAAATAACATCGTTTGTGTTTTTTCTAATGTACTACTTTTAGTCATTATCTATTAGTCATTATTCAAGTAAATGTGGCCATCACTGGCATTACAAGAATTTGTCTGGTCTGCAATGGAAATCTTCTACGGACACTTTTTCATATCAGATCTGCAACTCTGCAACGGATAAGCGACGGATCCGTAATCTTTGAAAAAAAATAAACTCTGCGATGGACGTTATATTTCCGTCGCAAATTAGCTACGTGGAATATTTTACCCTATAGCAAATTAGAGTAGGTCACATTTTGCCCTGGTTATCTCCGACGGACGCAGGGAAGTACTAAAAAATGGGGTTGGTTTTTTTCCCAGCCATTCCTCCTTCAAACCTAATCCCAATTCCTCTCTCTCCCTCACCCGTCCTTCGAACACCACCCCTCCCCCACCCTCGACGCCCGTCCTCGCCGCTAGCCGCGCCGTCCTCTCCAGCCACGCCAGACCCTCCAGCCGCGCCAGGCACGCCGTTCCGCCCAGCCGCGCCAGCCACACTGTCCCCCAGCCGCACCGTCCACCAACGTCGCCACCCCTCGTCGCCGCCGCTAGTACTCCACTGCCAGCCGTCTCTTTTCCCCCGCCGGACCTCATCTTCTTCTTTTCCTTGAACTTGAAGGTATTTTTGTTTAATTTTATACAATTTATTATTATTGTAATTTTTGGTGAAATTGAATTTGTTTGTGTGAAATTGAGTGCATTTTTGGTGAAATTTAGTTGAAATTGTGTGAATATGAGATGAAATTGTCATAAAATTGAGTAAAAATTGCATTACTTTTTGGTGAAATTGATGGCATTTAAGGTTTAATTTTAGTTGAAATTGTGTTAGTGAATTTGACGTTTATGAAGATTTAGGTAAAATTTAGTTGAATTTTGTGAAATTGAGTGCATTATACGTTCATAACTGTAGTTCAAGATGACTATTGTGTTTCGAGATTTGCATTTGAGGTTAATTTATTTTATTGATAAGACTTTTTCAACTATTGCAGTGCGTCAAGAAGTTTGATTCCTTCCTAAGGTCCCTAGTAGTGTTAGGATTAAACTGAGTTCTGTTGTTGACTTGTTATACATTGTTTCATTACTTTCATAATTCATACATGTGTACATCTGTGCACTTTGTTTCCCATTTTTTTCTAATTTGTGAAGTTTTTATTTTAAACTATTGTGAATACGCCTTCAAAAAAAAACTATTGTGAATACTTTCAGAGGGTTCTCATCGTGGCCTTCCTTCGCTTAAATATGCCGCCTTGCTTCAACAAAGGTATCCATGATTCCCTTATCAATCATTTATTCTGTTCATGGTATCCACTAATTGATTCATCATTTATTATTGTAGTTTCCTCTTTATTGTAGTCATGTACTCATGTGATCCTTAGGTGTTTGATTTAATCAGATTGGTGGTGTTGAATTGCATATATTCAAGTATTAGTTTTTTTACGGCAAATTCAAGTACTAGTTGGTTGAAATGTCATATGTTATTTTTGAACCATCCTTGGCACTTTTATATTTACATGTTCATGAAGTTGGAGGTGTGGTTATATGGGAATTCATGAAAGTACCATTGAATTAACTTTCCTTGAGTGAGAGATGGGGATTGTAACCTCATAGTTGGTTTTTATTGCTGTTACTAGTACTTCATATCTTTATAAATTTACTTTTTTTGGAAGCTCAGTTGTTTCATAGTTCCCTAAGTGTGCTGTAATGATTTTAGGCACTTGAATGGTTGCAATCAAATTAGTGGAAGCCTCAAAAGGATGCTATTCGACTGGACCAGACCACCATGTTTCAAAAAGAAACAAGGGACAAATTACATGAATTGGCTTGTTGCGTTGATGCCTTGTTATTGATCCATGATAATGTTAGTTGTTAAGTTCTTGTGTTGTTCTTGACATTGTTATTATTGCGTTGTTGTTTTTCTTGCTGTTCTTGACGTTATTATTATTGCGTTGTTGTTTTTGTGTGTTATTAACTATCATATATTTCAGGCTCAATTCTTCGAACTTCGCGAGGAGGCTAGACAGAAAGGGCTGCAAGTCACCGACCAAGAATTATGGTACTCGCTAGTCGAGGGCCATTATGTGAAGAACTGCGTTCTTGGAGTTGGTGACTACGAGCGGGAAATGAGGAAGATAAATCCGTCCTCTAAACCTCATCGTTCCAGATCGAGGAGCAGAAGTACAGTGCAGCGGAGATGGCAGCACTTAAAGAGCAAAACCAAATGCTGCAGGAACAAATTGATAGTCTAACCTCAAGCTTGTCGCTGATGATTCAGGAGGAGATAAGGAAGCTATATGGTGGTAACCTTCCTCAACAAGGCAATGATGATGGAACGGGAGGGGCAGGGCAGCACGGATTTGTTGAGACCTTTACGACCTTAGCTTCCTCCATTTTGAACACTTGACACTAACACTTTAATATTCATTGTTAGAATATCATGAATTATGTTAAGTGAAGTTTTCATTAATCTAGCTTTAAATTATCAATTTGGGTGTTGAAATCTTGTTTAGAATTATCTGTGTGTGAAGATTGAATGTGTTCCCCCCCCCATTTTAGTAGCTAGTGCCTAAAAACAGGAAAATGTTGCATCTGTGATCAGGTCTTCTTCGACGGACAAAGTTGTTGCTATATTTATTGCTGATCTACGACGGATGGGTCCATTGCTATTTCCATCGTAGATCTGCGATGGTTCCCTATATCCGTCGCAGACTTTGTCACGGATTGTGAATTCCGTCTCTATATCCCGTTGCAGGTCCGTCGCACATCTGCCACGGGTTGTGAATTCCGTCGTAGATATTAAATCTGCCACAAGTTTTCTGCGACGGAAGAAATTCGTTGCAGATCTATCGCAGAATAGAAATCTGCCACGGAATTTCAAATTCTGCCATGAAATTTTTCCGTTGCAGATCAGCAGTTTTCTTGTAGTGTGGATATTATTCCTACTTCTGGACATTATTAAATGCTATTTGGCCAATAAAACAGTTTAAGTGCTATTTAGTGAAATGACTAAAATTTTAATGCTATTTAGTACAAATATTTCTACAAAATAATTATCTCCTTAGTTTTTGAATAAAGTAAAAACATGTATGGTATTTCAGAGTCTTCTTCTTTTTCTTAAACAATTTCAACCAATCATTTTTTATTTCTCAATACTTTTCTTGAACTCCATAAAGTCAAATTAGAACAATTAATTACATCGCTCAACTATATATATACGTGTGTGTGTATAATTTTTTGTTTTTTATTACATACTCCCTCTGTCTGAAAATAATCTTCCTACTCTGCACCTTTTTTCATTCGAAAATAATTTTATTATTCTACCTTTTCATCTCAACTCTTCCATAAATGTCCTTCTTCTTCTCTTTCTTTATTGTTCCATTTTCTTTTTCTTCTTTCTCTCCAGTCTTTTCTCATCCATCATCTGCTCTCTCTCGCTCCCTCTCTCTCTCTAGAGCACTACTACAGGATAGGGAATACACAACAGATAAATTTGATATTTCACAGCGTAAATCAACCGCTATGTATGTGACTGGTGCAATAGGTATCATGTTTACACAGTATATATTTATTTATTCGGTGTGAAAGGATTTATACAGCCATATCCGATGCGTCGAGCATCCATATAAATTGAATCTCAATTTATAATCAAATCATTTGATATCATGCACATAATGTTCAATTCAAGTATTCATCATTAATGATATTCACAATATTCAATTCAAGTCATTTATCATTCATGATATTCACAATATTTAATTTAAGTCATTTATCATTCATATCCAATATTCATATTCAACGTTCATAGTGTCAACAATGCTCATAAACTATTCTTAGTTTAAGGCCAATTTAATTCTTAAGCTAATTATAGTTTAAGGTATTCCTAACCAACCCTTAAGCTAGGCCTAGTTTAAGATACAGATTTTCAAAAAGGTTTTTAAAATCTTAAACTTACCTTCGCTTAAGGTCAACTAGAAACTGATAGTGTAGTGTTCACTGTTGGATTGGGTGGTACCCCTAAATGAGTAGGTACTCAAGTTTGGTTCTTGGATCCCGTACGTACGTTTTAACCTTGGCCATCAGGCACCATGCCTGCAAAGTCTATCTTAAATGGGTACATCTTAGAGTTCTTCTAGATACCCTTCAAAATCAACATCTCTATTGGTATATCTTAGATTTCTTCTAGATACCCTTGAAATCAATATCAATTAACTAAAATGGTCATTTGGGTACATTTTAGAATTCTTCTAGATACCCTTCAAATCAACATCAACATGGGTATATCGTAGAGTTATTCTAGATGTGTCGATGTGTGGCATGCCACCTCATTGCCCCTGCCGTACGGTTGGACATATACAAGCGTTTCAACCTCGGTGTAATCGGAAAGTAGAACATCTGTCTATGCGGAATATTAGACGTCTCGTCTTTATAGCGTGGCTTATGACACGCATTGCACTCGGTAAGATATTCATCGCCTCTCCAATATAATATGCATCCAAGAACACAATAATGAATCTTTTGGACCGGAAGACCCAAACCTTCAATCATCTTTTTAGTTCCATAAAAGTCATTCACCATTGTGTTGTCCTCCGAAAGAATGTCTTTAATGTATTGACATATGGTGTCGTAACAACGCTCGGATAGATTATGCTCTGACTTAATATTCAACAAGCGTGCAACTGTAGACAATTGAGACGTCTTAGAACTCCCCGGCCAACGATTTGTATCAGCAGCTGTAACGCCCTGCAACCCGGTCTAATAGAATTGGCTATTTTAAATAATTAATTACTGTTCCAGGCCGGAGTTGGGGAAATAAAAAGTTCTTAGAAAAATTATTTGATCACATCATTAAATTCATTTTCACTGTCTGATTCCAGAAACGCAAACAGATCTCAATTCGGACCCATTCGGGGGAAAAGCGCATACCGTTCAAGTCAAATTTTTACATAACGGAGTGCTTAAATATTTGTAATCCCCCCCCCCCCATGTCTTTGGTTCGGCTC